AACTGTACCCCAAGCTGGCCTGGAACTCGCTGTGTAGACAGGCTGGTCTTGAACTGAAGAGATTCATCTGCCTCTGCCTCCCAAGTGCTGGGACAAAAGGTGTATGCCACCACACCTGGTGAACCTGTGATTTTTTTCAAACTCAGAAATACTTTGAAGTTTCCTACTTTTAAAAAAGCATATACTCACTGGGTGTGGTGGCGCATACCTTTAATCCCAGCACTTGGGAGGCAGAAGCAGGTGGATCTCTGAGTTCAAGGCCAGCTGGGGCTACCGGGAGACCCTGTCTTAAAAAAACCGAAAAAAAAAAAAAAGCATAAACAATTCAAAGCCTAACATTGAAATGAAAAGTTAATTAAAAATAAATGTAAAGTTAAATATTTTTATTAGTAGGAATCTCTTACCTGTAAAAGTTTTATATGAAAAATGGTAAAATGGCAAGGAAACTCTAAAGGCTTAGCCCACTACCTTCACAGTATAGATAAGTTATTTTACCAAGGCTATAGCTGGTCCAGACCCTAGATGCCCAGACCACACTTAATTTTTAGACTATAGGCCTCAGCCCAGTAGCTCTAGCTTGCTTAAGGACCAAGAGCAACACTTATAGGGAAGGTCACTAAGCCCAAGCTGGGACAGTGTCCAAGTTTGGAGATCCTGTAGGCTAGATGCCAAAATATGTAAATGGTTTGAACCAGTGTTGAAACTGACATCTACCCTAGCCCAGTCATAGGTAGATTCATTCAGGGCAGTCTATACTTTGATTTGGCATAACTAGATGCTTAAGTGTGTACGCTTCTAGGCCAGTCCTTTGCCTGCCAGTAGACTACCTGTAGCCCCACCCTGCCCCTCAGAGAAGGAAGCCAGGCAATACAGCAGAGTACCAGAGCAGGGGAATTAAAGGGCCGATTTAATGAAACTACAAACTGGGACCAGGCCAGTTTACAGTGACAGGAGGCCATGCAGTGCTAGTGTAAGGTAAGGAGAGGGACAGCAGCAGAATACAGTGTCCACACAGGCATATTCACAGACCAGTCAAGAAATGGACAGATTTGGGCTTGCACAACTTGGACAAGACTCGTCCCGAGGACACCCCCATCACTTGTGGCTTCTTCCTGGTCCCTAGTCCAGTGCCACAGCTGTCCCTAATGAAGCGCCTCAATGTGGGATTAGGCCTAGAATCAGCAAGTCAATTGTCTCAGTACTTAAACCAGAGATACCAATGAACCCATAAAGAGACCCTTCTAATCTGCCATCCCTCCCAACTGGATACAAGCCACCAGACAGAAGTTACACCCATATACAACACAAACATGGAGTAGACAGGACAGGCTCATGGGCATTCCTTCTGGCCCTAGATAATAACAGGGGTTCACAGAAGTGTGGCCACAAAGGAGGTCAGCACATTGACTGAAAGGAAGCTAGGCAGGAACAGGGATGAATCCCTCTTGGCTACCAGCACTAAAACTATAGCCCAGTGTCCTCTCTGCCAGGCATCTTTTAGGCACCTGGACAGGGAATAGAAGTCCTGGATTTCCATACCTGAGAGTTCTGAGGGCCCAGGGTTGGCAGTTACTTCTTTCTTACCCTACCTATGGCACCCCAGTGGCAATATATCCCATATAAACCCAGGCCTTTAGATCCTGTCCTGCTTGGGTCTACCTGGTTCTAGATGATGTCCTAACCTCATTCCAGCAGGTCAAAAACAATTGTGGTTCCAGGCACCGCCTCCACTGTAGGCCACAGTGTGGGGCCTGTTAATGATTTGAGTGCTTTTGGTCCCAGGGAGAGTCAGGACCAAGCCTTGGACGGAAATGGAGGAATGAGGACTCTAGTAGGAGAGTCTCCTCAACTTATCTGGATTGCAAATGCCAAGCAAACCCACATCCACAAGTTCAGTGCCAACCCATGCCACCCCCTGGCCCTTGGCCTTAAGTCCAACAGAATGTTTGCTGGAAGAGTCAGATGCTCAGGGAAGGGCAAGGTGAGAATAGGACTTCCAGGGGACAGTGGCAAAACTTCCAACCCCAAGTGGGGGTTGTGGGGGAGTGACCACTGAACATGGGAGGCAAAGCACAGGGGGCCAGACTGATAGGTGGGGGAGTCCAAGTCTGGCTCTGTTAGCACAAGCGCTTGTACGTGTAGATGTAGGCTTTGCAGCTGGGGCATGTATGTGTCACATCCTTGAAGTCATTGATGAGGCAGGGGATCAAACAGCAGCCCAGATCACACCTGAATTGAAGACAGGAGAGACAGGCTGAGGCCTGAAGAGACAGAGACAGCACATATAGCCCTTGTCAGCCCCACCACTTGCTAGCACCCCATACCTACCCCATGAAGCAGCAGAAGAAACCCAACACGAAGTTCATCAGACCAATCTCATAGGAGATCTTGGTGGTGATGGCCTGCTGGCAGTGGGGGCACACTGTCTGCACAGGTGCTCCTTCAAAGATCTCTCCCTGAAGCACTGTGACTGTGGTGGCTGCCCCTGAAGGGACCAAGACTGTAGCCGTGTGGCCCCCAGGGCCAGGACAGGGCCCTGGTGGGTAGGGTCCTGGTGGATAGTAGCCCATTGGTGGGTGAGGGCCTGGAGGAGGGTAGAAACCTGGAATAGCAGAGAGATCACTAGCTAGCTGCTTGTCTGGGTGAGAGACCACAAAGTCCAAGATCTCAGTGTTCAAGGCACAGCCTGAAGCTTCCTGTCATCCTGCCAAAGAAAGGACCAGTGGGAACAGGTTTTGCAGCTGAGGTCCTGGCTCAAGTTGACCATAATGGTCCAATCCTTTTGATCTCTACATGGGACTAAGAGAAATATGACAAAACTAGGAACACGATCCAGCCTTGCTTCTTTGCCTCTGGCATGGCAAGACTATTCTGCCATGCCTGTAAGGATGAGGGCTTCAAGAACAGGAAGGCAAGCTTCATTCCTCCATACAGGGGTTCTCTTGCATGCCAAAGACTAGCTCGATTCAACCCCAGAGACTACAAGAGCAGAGTGGTAGCCCTAGAGAACTGGTGATTGGGTCTCATGCCCCTACCACAAGAAAGCCTGGCCACAGCAGTCATCAACATGAGCACTGTAACCAAGGAACCTTAAGTGGGTGTCTCCCAGTCTATGTCACCCCTTTCCTGTGTACAGAACATGACTGATAATTATCCAGTGAATGTGGTATGACAGTTTCCCCAATGCTTCCTTCAGGACTCTTCCCATCTCACCTGGAGGCATGTAGGCGCCATCTGCACTCATGTGGGGAGGCACAAAGCCAGCCTGAGGCACTGGGTGACCAGGTGGCTCATAGGGTGGAGGGCCAATGTCAGCAGGAGGCAGTGGCATACCTGGTGGGGGCTGCATCACTGCTGGGGAGGTGCGGCCTAGACAGAGAGGGGCAAAAAGAGGAAGGCTCAGCTGGTCTCTATACATAGGCTGGACACAGGGTGATCCTGAAGCAGGAGCATTTCACTGTGAAAAGTCCCCAACCATATCTGAAGTGGAAAGGTAGCTGTGACAGAGACCCCAGGAGGAAAAGAACAGAAGGACCTTGAGGATAAGAGCCAGTGACAAAAGGTACTAGCTCAGCAATCCCATCTAGGAGCCTTACCCAGGCTGCCACCAGATAAGGGTTATTTGGCTGTCTTACCTGGATTAGGTGGGGCTCCGCTTTTCTCCTCCAGTAAGGGGGCTGTGGGGCCTCCAGGATAAGGAGGGGGTGGCTCGTTAGACATCTCTGCTGCTGCCACTACTTCTGGATCTGCAGGAAAAACTCATACTTGAATTCAGCTCCTGCTCAGGCTCTGGCTTGTGGTAAGAGCAAATGTGTATAACCATTGTCAATACCCTCAAGCCCAAGCACACAGGGCCTACTGTACTACTGTGCATTCTCATGGGTTCCCTACCTCAAGCTCAGGTTCCTGAGTGGCTACCTTTTCCTTCCCTCAAAGGAGATCTAAGTGTGGAAGGATCAGGGTTGGTGGCAAGGACCTGTGCCTTTGGGAGTTCAGACTGTGTATCAGGCTGCTTCTGACACTAGAAGACAACCTCAGTTAGGAGACCACCCATCAAAGCTACCATCCTTTAGCACTGTTGCATGGTGACCCATACATCTCTGGAAGCTGGAGGGTAAGGACAGGACCCTGAGGACAAGGCCCAGTAATCCTGTCTGGGAACCCATCCCAAGGTTCCACAGAGGGCAGCATGGTACCAGTCCATTCACCCTACCCCCTTAACACTGAGCCACTACTGCAGCCATGGAGGGGCCGACTTCTACCAAAGTTTGCTGTGGCAGGGGGATAGCAGTCTGGTTTTCATACCTTAGATTCCCAGTGCTCAGAAAATGAAGACAGGTAAGGGTATTTAAGCTGCTGGCTAGGACAAGGAGGGTTCTGGGAGTTGTTTCAGAGAAAGATGAAGCAGCACCCTCACTGGGCTTCCAGGCTGGCTACTTAACAATGCTATCCACAGGCCTAATGACTCCACTCCCCATACTGCCTCAGCTTTGCTCTTCTTTCCCCAAGTACCACAACTGCTGGGTCCTCTGTGTGCCCACTTAACAGTCCCCACAGATCCAGTTCCTATGCTTGAAATGTTTTTAAAAAGGAGCTAACTGCGGGTTGGTGTCTGGCACTGACTTGTCCCCTTCTGTTTTGCTTAGGAGGCATGAAGAAGAGTCAAATTCCTTGAGCATTTATTGCAGGGCACTGGTGAAGCAGGGATATTCAGGTCTTCACTTTAAAACAAAAGATGTATATGTGTTTCTGTATGCAAGTATGTGCACATGTGTGCAGGGCCCACAGAAGCCAAAGGCATCAGATCCCACCAGGAGTTGGTGTTACAAGCAGTTGTGGGCTGTCCAACATGGCTGCTGGGAAATGAACTCAGTACATGCTCTTTAACAGCTGGGCCACCTCTCCAGCCCTTCCTTGCCTTTACTCTTTTTTTAAAAAAAGTTTATTTTTATTTTTTATTTTGGTCTTTTTGAGACAGGGTCTCCCTATAGCCCCAGCTGGCCTGGAACTTGCTATGTAGACCAGGCTGGCCTTGAACTCAAGAGATTTGCCTGCTTCTGCCTCCCAAGTGCTAGAATTACACCATTCCCAACTTTATTTATTTATTTTTTTTATGTGTATGAGTGTACTGCCTGCATGTAGGTAGGTATGCCTGTGTTGTGTAGTACCCACAAAGGTCAGAAGAGGACATTAGATCTCCTGGAACTGGAGTTAAGGATGCTTGATAGCCACCATGTAGGTACTGGGAACTGAGCCTGGGTCCTCTGCAAGAGCAGCTAGTGCTCTTAACCACTGAGTTATCACTCCACCTCCCACCCCCTTACTCTTAATCAGCATCATAAAACTAACCAGTAATAGCTTTTTCTTTTTCTTTCTTTTATTCAGTCTTCTTTTTCTTTTTTGAGACTGGGTTCCCCTGTTGTCCCAGCTGGCCTGGAACTCACTGGCCTTGTTCTCACAGAGATCCACCTGTCTCTGCTGGGACTGAAGATGTATGGCCACCGGGCGTGGTGGCGCACTCCTTTAATCCCAGCACTCGGGAGGCAGAGGCAGGCGGATCTCTGTGAGTTCAAGGCCAGCCTGGTCTACATAGTGAGTTCCAGGACAGCTGGGGCTACGGGAAGACCCTGTCTCAAAAAGACCAAGAAAAAAAAAAAGATGTATGGCCACAGGGGCTGGAGAGATGGCTCAGCGGTTAAGAACACTGGTTGTTCTTGTTTGAATCCCAGCACCCACATGGCAGCTAACAACTGTCTGTAACTCCAGTTCCAGGGCATCCGACGGCCTCTTCTGTCCTCACGGGCATTTCATGACACAGGTGCACTTACCTATATGCAGGCAATACACTCATACATATAAAATAAAAATAATAAAATACTGAAAAAAAAAGATATATGGCCAACTACACTGGGCCACAGTAAAAGCATTCTGAAGTGGGACTTTTTGCTAACTGAAAAGAAGTAACATGAAATAGAAAAAAACAAAATACTAGAGCATATACAGTGAAAATAGCATTTTTGCAAAGCCTTACAGTGAGTCCAAGCATTGAGTCTGCATAGGTAAAGGATCCTGGCGTTCATAATTCTTTTTTTCCCTCTACTCCCCCCTACCTCACTTTTTTCCTTTGAGGTAAGTTTCACTGTATAGTCCAGGTTGGCCCCCAACTCTTCCTGCTTCATCCTTCCAAGTGCTGGGATTCAACTTTAATATCACAGTTTGAGAAACTACACCCATGACTTCAAACACAGCCTAATCTAGTCCAAAGAATGGGTTCAACTTTGACAGTCTGAAATTACACCCATGACCTCCAACACAGCCTAACCAAGTCCAAAGAATGGGTTCAACTTTAGTATGACAGTTGAAGAAACTGCACCCAAAACCTCCAACACAGCCTAGCATCCACCATGTTCTTCTGTAGGAAGTTATTCAAGCAACCTGAGACTAGGGCACTCACCTACACCCCTCTGAAGCTTTATCCCACCTTTGCACAGGCAGGCCCGTAGCTGAAGCTTCTAGGAACAGGTCACAGTTTTAGCCCCACCCACTGTTCCTGGGCATAAGGCCATTTTTCTGCAAAGCCACCCTCACATCCAGCAGCCCCAACTTACTGAGAACATCTGAATTTGAAATGCCGTCTGCTTTTCAGGCTGGCTCAGCAGTGTGGGGTGCTTTGGGACCTGCTTAGTACAGGTGCCAACTCTGTACTAAGCAGTAAAGAGTGGAAACTGTAAGGCATCCCAGCAGTACAGTCCTGCCTGGCTTTCCCTCACTCATCACACAGCTCTGCCATGGAGTGCACACTTTATCTTTGCTCAGCCACACCCACCCACCCTGTGTGGAGGCTCTTCTCTAGTGAACTTCTGGCTCTGGGTTTTCCCAAAAGCAAGGATGGAACTGACACTCTGCACTGTCCCCCAATCCCAAACTGTGGAATGTGGCTCAGCTCCATGGAAAATATTTACAGTCTTATAACATGGGGTCAGCAGAGTACCAGAACTCAATTTCCCTCTCCCACTGAAAGGGGAAAGGGGTGGCCCGGTGTCAGGCAAACAGAATGGACAGCATAGAGATCTGGAGTTAGACAAACCTGGCCTCTACCTTCCTATGTCTGAGACAATCCCCTCCCCCAGGTCCATATAGAACCCAGTCTCTTAATATAGATTGTTCCATGGGGTGAGGGCTGCCTACTGAGGGAATAAAAATGTTCTGCAATTATATCATGGTGATACTTGTACAACTTTCTCAACATTAAAAGCACCAAATGAAGGCTGTAGAAATTGCTCAGTTAACAGCACTTGTTGCTCTTGCAGAGGACCTGAGTTCAGTTCCCAGCACTCACATGACACCTCACAACCACCAGTAACTCCAGTTCTTAGGAGTCTGATGCCCTCTTCTGGTCTCCACAGGCATTGCATGCATGGGTACACTTACATGCTAGCAAAAACCAAAAATAATAATAATAAAACAAAAAAAATCAAAAAGAGGGGAAGAGTAAATGGTAGGTATAAACAAAATATATTGTATACATGTATGAAATTCTCAAAGAATAAAAATTTCTTAAGAGCACCAAATGAGCCAGGCATAGTCATGCACACCTTTTATCCCAGCACTGGGTGCTGGGCCCAACACCTGAGAGGCAACAGCTGGTAGATCTGAGATCAAGCTCAGCATGGCCTACATGGCAAGTTCCAGGCCAGTTGCGGTTACTGAGAGATGCTATCTCAAAAAAGCACCAAACGATACTTAACAGTGGGATTCATCCTGAGAAATAAGTTGTTAGGCTATTTTGTACTGTACAAACATCACAGAATATAAAAGCTAAAATGACTATGGTAACATTTAATCTTAAAGAACCCTTGTATCTATCCTTCACCAAAACCGTGTTTTGTGGCACATGGCTGTACTTTGAAAAGAATAAATACAATTCCAAGACAGGCCCCGGAAGGACAGCTTTGCCTAGGGCAGAAGTAGGAGGGGGAAGAGACAGGGACTGGACTCCTTCTGGCTGAATTCAGTTGTTCTCCTCTGGGTCTCCTGTTTCTCAGAGAGGAGTTCCAAGCACAGGGCCCTGGGAACTGCCCCTGGCATTCTGCTTGGCTTTCAACTATTCATTACGCACTTCAATTGATCCAAAGCCAAAGCCTGGCCAGCAGGCAGCAGCCTACAGTGGCCTGGCAAACTGCCTGCTGCTTCAGTAGGGGTGGCAACAGGGTACACATCTCCTGGTAACAACCACTGCTGCAGGGTCTTAAACTTTATTTTCCAGTTGAAACTATCCCTCACACTGCACTGGGGTGTGTTATATATAGTCCCATGATCTCTTCTATCCCTCAGAGTGCTGTCGCAGGCATAACACCAAGTCCCTGAAGCAGCAAAGCCCAGGAGAATCTTGAGACCTATTAGGACAACCAGTCTGGAAAGCTCTGCACATAGGCGCTAAGGAAATGAGGCAAAGGTGGCAGAGAGGGCAAGTTCCAGAGGGACTTTCTGACATGACTGTTTCCAGGTGTAGCAGACCAGAGGTTCTCACTTCTGGCTTGCAGACTTCTTTATTATTGAGGATCTCAAATATATTTCTCTCTCAACATATCAGAAATATCTTAATATCATATTAGAAATAAAAAATGAATTTAAAAATTAGCTGAGGGCTAAAGGTGTAGCTCAGTGGGAAAGCACTTTCCTTGCATATGCAAGGCCCTAAGTTCAATCCCGAGCACCAAAACAGATTAAATATCATGAAACTATC